TGGGTATAACGCCTGGTCCATGGCCCAAGACTTGTTTTAGAATGGGTAATGAGATGTGGCCTCTCTGGGTCATCAGACGTTTAAAATGCTACCAGGGACTGCCTCATTGTCCTTCAAAGGGTCCAGACTAGTTTACCTCCAAAATGCAGTGCATGAGAGTTCACATATCCTCTATGGTGGGTTCTGACAAGTCCTAGAGTTGCATTTCTTCACTAAAATTCTGCTAATCACACTTAAAAAAAAACAACTAATTTGCAAGTAGTTCCCGCCCCCCATCAAGACGGTTTGCTTTCCACAATTTCAGTTACCTGCGATCAAACCCAGTCCAGAAGCAGATGATCTCCCTGGTAATGTTAACGGATTGTCAGAAGTTCAATAGTAGCCTAAGGCTACATCATATGCCTGGTCATTCACCTCCACCTCACCACGTCTCATCACACAGGTATCTTATCATCTCACATCATCACAAGAAAGGTGAATACAAGATATTTTGAGAAAGAGAGAGAAGCCACATTCACATAACTTTTTAAAAAAAGATTTTATTTATTTGCGAGAGAGAAAGAGCACAAGAGCAGCAAGAGGGAGAGGGAGAAGCAGACTCCCAGCTGAGCAGGGGGCCCGATGCGGGGCTCAATCCCAGGACCCTGAGATCATAACCTCAGCCGAAGGTAGACACTTAACTGACTGAGCCACCCAGGTGCCCCTCTCATAACTTTTATTACAGTATTTTGTTGTAATTGTTCTATGGCATTAAACATTATTATTGCTAATCTCTTTCTGTGCCTAATTTATAAATTAAACTTTACCATACGTTTGTGTGTATAGGGACAAACATAGTATACACAGCGCTCGGTACTTTCTGCGGTTTCAGGCACTTGCTGGGGGGGGTCTTAGAATGTGTCCCCTGCACATAAGGGGAGACTCCTGTACTACATGCCACCCAGTGAGGTTTCATGAGTCTTTGAATTAACTCTGATGAAGCTTGTAGAGCATTCATTCAGCACACAAGTCCTCCTTCCCTTCGGCCTTTCGATAGAACATATAAGCATTATTCCTTCCCACTCAAAAGGAGATGTCGTCTAACACAGCTCTCTGCTGAGGGACAAGCAACTAGCTCCTTCAAAAGCCTAGACATTGGGTGCCTGGGTAGCTTAGTGGGTTAAGCCTCTGCCTTCTGCTAAGGCCATGATCCCAGGGTCCTGGGGTCGAACCCCAAGTTGGGCTCTCTGCTCAACAGGGAGCCTGCTTCCTCCTCTTTCTCTCTGCCTACTTGTGATCTCTCTCTGTCAAATAAATAAATAAAATCTTTAAAAAAAAAAGAGGTAAAAAGATATTCTAGGCATGGGCCAAAAGGCCGTGGGCCTCTGGAAGAAAAGAATTTTATGAGAAGGACAAGTGTTTGCATTTCTGTCACTATTTGCACATATTCTGGCTTTCCATATGTTTTGTGAAGACAGGCCTTCCTCTTCTGGTTTCTGAAGTTTGCAATGCCAGACTTTGCCTTGCCCCCATGAGCTTTCCACCACAGAGAAACGTTTCAAGCAACTCTGTTAAGCTAGTGAGCCTGGGGCTTTATGTTTCTATTAATGTCTACAACTCTCCCTCCCGTTTCTACAGCAGCATGGCCATTTGACAGAATAGTAAACTGAGGTTCAGAAGTTAAATCACTCACCTAAGGTGAACCCAGGATGGAGATCTAGGTCTATCAGGCTCTAAACCGTTATGATCTGCTTTAACACAGAAAAACTTTAAGATTATTTATTTATTTATTTGACAGAGATCACAAGCAAGCAAAGAGGCAGGCTGGGTTGGGGAGGGGGAGCGGACTCCCTGCAGAGCAGAGAGCCTGATGCGGGGCTCCATCCCAGGACCCTGGGATCATGACCTGAGCCAAAGGCAGAGCTTTTAACCCACTGAGCCACCCAGGCGCCCCAACAGAAAAACTTAAATAGAAAATCAGACAACAGTGATATGTGATAACAGAGGTGGTAGAAAGACTGTATTAACAATGAATGTGGGGGAAAGAGAGCTAATAATGAAATAATTTATGTGTTATATAGAGTTTTGTGCAGTTTGTGAAAAGTTATGTGTGTCGTATAATACAGTGGTTAAGAGTATAATATAGTCCTGGGATACCCGGCTGGCCCAGTCAGTAGAGTGTGGGACTCTTGATGTTGGGGTCGTGAGTTCAAGCCCCATGGTAGGTGTGAAGCCTACTTAAAAAAAAAAAAAGGCATATCGTCTGGAGTGAAATGGTCTGGCTTTGTGACTTTGGGCAAGTTACTTAACCCCTCTGTGCCTCAGACAGTACCTATTTCATTGAGTTGTTGAAATGACTAAAGGAGACAGTATTTGTAAAGCAATGAGAGCAGTGCCAGGCACACGGTAACCCCACAGAAGTCTGTCATTACTGTCCTTACTGTTGTATTTGGTCCTTGCGGTTATTGCTGCTATTTTACAGAGGAGCAAAAGGAACTTGGGAGGTGGAGTAACCAACCCAAGCTTGTGGCATCTGTTGGTGATAGACCCAGCCCTGAACCTGGGTCTCTGCCTTCCTGTCCAGGGGTTTGCACTCCCAGCACTTCCTGTCCCCTCCCCCCACCTTACTAAACACAGCAGAGGGGTCATCTAAGACCTTGGAATGTCAGTGCAAGAAAAGGTGGGTCCAGGCACAATTCACACTCTTTCTTCCTGAGAACAAAAGAAGGATCTGTAGTGGAAGAATTTCAGGAACTTCAGTGAAGCCTGTGAAACATTCCAAGACAAGTCAGTCCAGTTCCCTTCCATGTGCTTTTACTAGCATGTGAATCTATCTTTCCAATCGCCCTCACTTCGCCTCTGTCCTAGACCCAGCGTCATGTCCTTGACCCAGAATCACATCACTGTCATCCGTCTTTGGAGCCTCCCATGTGACATCCCCCCCTACTCATTCGCCTCATCAAAGCCGAAGACGTATTTCTAGACATACACCTGATCATGTCTGTCCCCAAGATGGCCCTGCCAGGGCTCTAAGGACTTGGGCTGAGTCCCTTGGTATGCTCTATGGAGATTGCGCTGGAGTTGGGCTTTCCTTCCGCTTCCTGCTCAAGCCCTCGTAATTCTGTCAGATGGTACTTCCTTTAGTTCTCAAAACTGAGCACACTGTCCCCTCCCTCTGAACTCTTTCAGTCTGCCCACGTCCTTCTCACCCTTTCAGCTTCAGCCTGGCTCTCAGTTCTTCCTGGAACCCTTTTTGCATCTTTCACTCCACTTTTTCCCCCCAACGCATCTATACCTTTGCCTTGATAGCATTTCTTATGCAGTATTATAATTTGCTGTCTCCTTGTCTATATGTCCCACTGGAACCTGGGCTTCCTGAGGGCAATCCCCCTATCTCTTTGGTTCGGAGTTACGCTGGGCATCCAGCACAGGGCCTGAGATGAGAGTTACTGGTGGGAGATAAATACGGATGCTGGTTGAAACTGAGTGTGCAGATGCTGCTTTTGGCCATGACGCAAGAGGACCTTGTAAGTAGAGTGAGAAGATAATTATTATGGGCGGAAACATTAGGAACATTCCTAGGGATGGTGAGATTAGTTTAGAGGGCCATAAAGAGAAGGCAGTAGCATGACTATGGGAAGGGAAGGAATTAAGAAAAGGGGCTGAGACTAGGGAGGAGAGGGTGTTAAGATAACCAAACGGGGAGGCTATTAGACCAAGGTGGCTGTAATGCCTTGTAACTACAGAAGCGAACCAAAACTTAAGCCAGACTCAATGCACTCAAATCCCAGAAAATGAAACTTAAGAACCAAGCACAGTCAAGTAGGTTTTCCCAAATAAGTCAATGGCTCATGCTACAACCATCAAATAATTTCCTGGCTTAGCTTCCTGTCTTCTCTATAAAATCCTCTCCCCTAGCTGCTGTTGGAGGACCGTCCCCAGCCACCTTTGGTTTGGCACAGCTCCGTTCCCATGATGTATGCCCAAGATAAACCCTCAAAAATGTTGACGTGCCTCGGTCTGCCTTTTAACAACGGGATTATTGCAGGAGACAGCGGGTTACTTGTCAGTGGGGTTAGGTTCCAGAGTAGTTAGAGTAATCAACGATCCTGGTTTACCGAGGACTGTCTCGGTTTTAAAACCACAAGCCCTGCATCCCAGGAAACCCAGAATTCGAGGCAAACCTAGGTGTGTCACCCTAGATTGGAATCCAGATTCCCGGAGTTGTCAGAAGTTTTGGACAAGGGCAACCTCCCCCTTTATGAGGATGGTGGAGGGGGAAGAATTAAAGAAACAAAGCCTATGGGCTTTGGAACCAGGGCAAAGCTCTGCTTCTTTGCTGTGGTATCTTCTGGAAATTCCTTAACCTCTCAGATCCCATTTCCCGTAATATGGGGATAATTAAACACGACTGAACCATGTGAACGGGCCTATCCCAAATGTAGGCTCAGAAGTAGAGTTAAAAGTTTTTAATTTCCGGGACGCCTGGGTGGCTCAGTTGGTTGGGCAGCTGCCTTCGGCTCAGGTCATGATCCCAGTGTCCTCAGATCGAGTCCCACGTCGGGCTCCTTGCTCCGCAGGGAGCCTGCTTCTCCCTCTGATTCTGCCTGCCACTCTTGTCTGCCTGTGCTCGCTCTCTCTCTCTCTCTCTGACAAATAAATAACTAAAATCTTTAAAAAAAAAGTTTTTAGTTTCCTTTCTTTCCTTACTTTGGTCGCTGATCTGGTCTTCGACTTTTCAATCCTTCTCCTTCTCCCCTTGACCTTCCCCTGCCTCGTTCTCAGCAGCCACCTGCTCCTCACTCGGAGCACCCCCCACCGCCGGGGGGAAGAGCCGAGCCAACAAAGCTCTGGGCCCCTCTGCCTCTCACAGGCGAGCTCTCTATGGTGCCTGCCCACAGAGCCGCGCGGAGGGGGCGGGGTACGTCACGTGACCCGGGAAGCCCGGCTCCCGCGCAGGCGCGGTGGCCGCGTCGCCGTCGCCGGGTTCCGTCGCCCGCGCCGCTTCGCTTTCTTGGCACCTGAGACGGCCGCTGGGCGGTCCTGCGGCTTTTCGTCTTGCAGCTGCGGGCCGCGTGTCGCGGCCATGTCCCGAAAGCAAGCGGTCAAGGGCCGGCCGGGAAGCGGCAGCCGGAAAGCCGAGGCCGAGCGCAAGCGCGACGAGCGGGCGGCGCGCCGGGCTCTGGCCAAAGAGCGGCGGAACCGGCCGGAGTCCGGCGGCGGCGGCGGCTGCGAGGAAGAGTTCGTCAGCTTCGCCAACCAGCTGCAGGCCCTGGGGCTGAAGCTGCGGGAGGTGCCGGGGGACGGGTGAGGCGGACCCGGGAGCGCGGGAGGCGGTGCCGGGGGACGCGCGGGGCGCGGCGACCGTCGCCCGCTCTCGTCCGCTCATTCATTCAGGAGGCGCCGAGCGCCACCGCTTCCCAGTGAGGGAGGGGGGTGGGGGTGGATCCCTCCCCTCGGGACGCTCGAGTAATCTCAAATTGACCTCATGTTGGCAAAAGCCTCGAGGAAACTGTGAAGTGGTCCCAAGAGACAGCAGTGGAGCAAGTCTCCTTTAGATAGGTGCCCAGGAAGGCCTCTCTGAAAGGTGATATTTAAGCTGAGACCTGGAGGAATGAGTTGGAGCTGGTCCCTCGGAGAGCAGGACAGCACGTAGGGGAGTCAGAACGATGCTGAGACCGGGAGAAAGAGGCGACGCTCCACTTGGTATAACACTCTGTTCTTCTCGAGTTCTTACTGTTGGGTGCTGCCCTCCTTTTACACTTAGGAAGTTAGGTCTTTGAGGGCCTGTTGTTCACTGAACTGAAGGTAACTTCTCTAGTTCTGACTTCTGTGCGCCCGAGTTTCTCCTCTGATGCTTAACTCCAGCTTGCTTGGGGCTTAGACTGGAATCTAGGGCAAGCTTTTTTAGGGAACACGAGCTAAATAAGTGGGATGGGAGGGAGAAAATGGGGAAAGGTTAGGGGAAATGGATCCAGAAGCATGGATGACAGCAGGAAAAAGAAGGGGGGGGGCGGAGAACAGTTAGCACCCTCATTGCAGGGGTAGGTCAGGGGGAGTCTGGTTGCCAGGGTGTGTCACTCTGGAAGAGACAATATTAATAATAGCCTGGCTCCTGCTGTTCTTCCCTTCATTTAAGGGCTCAGAAAGGGCAGAGGGAGGAATAAGATGAGGTTCAAGACCATATAGAATTGCCTTACTTACTAAGCATGGAAAAGAGGGAAGAAAGTGGTTTTTTTTTTTTTTTTTTGATTTCACATCACATTGTACCTTATTGATCAAGACAGTGTATGAACTGGCAGTAATTGATATTTCCCATCTTTTCCTGCATATGTTCGGTGCTTAGACACTTGGCTTTAGAGTTTGGTTGCGTTTTACTCACCATCATCTAGCATAGTGCCTAGTCCATAGAGGGCATGCAGTGCATTTTTGTTGTACGAATGAATGATAAAAATGTCACAGAAGCCAACTACACCCTCAGGGGGGGCTCACAAAGGGACGTTTTCTTAGTGGAGTCACTGCCATTAAAGACTTGCTTTGCTGTGTCTTGCTTTTAGCCTAGTACTTTGATTTCGTCAAATATAGTTTATGAACTATTCTGGGCCTTACTTACCCTAATCAAACTTACAAGCACGAGACACTGCTGTATAAACTAAAATACTTTACAGTTGAATATTTTACACTGGGATTGAGGTGAGGCTCTTCCTTGCAAATGATTGGAGTGCTTGTGTCTGTTATACTAGACATGGTATTCTCAATGTCAGGATGCCGGGGAAACTGAAGTACTCAACAGAAGGTTGCTTCTGAGCAGGAGTTGCAGCACAGGGAACTGTAAAATCCTGAGGGAGCTCTCACAATGCGATGGAAAACTTTGGGGGTACTACCTCTCCTCTGCTCTGCCCACAAGAGAACATAATTTAGTTAATTCAGCAAACGTTGGTTGAGCCAAGATTTGGGAATCCATTGAAGACTAAGATACTTAAGGAGTTCACAGCCTAGTAAGAGATAAATGAAAAAGGGAGCTCAAACATTTTGACCTAGGGACTCCTTTACACTCCTGAAAATTACTGAGAACTCCAAAGAGCTTTTGTTTATGTGGGTTAAAGCTATCAATATTTACTGTATTTGAAAGGAAAGCAAAAATTAGAAACACAAGACTACACAAACACCCATTCCATTAACTGTCAGAATGATAACCTATGTATCACGTAAGCTCTGGAAATCTCCACTGTATACTTGTGGGAGAGTAAGAGCGCAAAAGATAAGTAACATCTTAGTTTTGAACTCAGGAATACCCCGAAAGGGTCTCAGAACTACCTTCCCCTCTCCCAAACTGGGCCCCACTTTGAGAATGGATGATATAAATAATTACAGTTTGGTATATTTTTAACAGTGGCCGATTATAGTACTATTGAGAAGTGGCCAGCACTTCCTGAAGCGATCAGGGAGGCCTTCTCATTCATTCGTCCAATATTCAGTGAGCTTACACCATACCAGCTGCCTCTCAGAGGAGGTCATACTCAGACTGGGTCATTCCCATACCAATGGGAATATGCCAAGAGAACATTCCAGGCTGAGGAGTAATATAATACATGTAAAGGCAGAGGAGTTGCTTCGGACGTAGGAGTATCAGGGTAGAAGGGTAGAACACTGGCAGGGAGGCTGCGGAGGCCAGAGGAATGTTCATGTCTCTCTCTTCCGGGGTCACTGTTCTTGAGACAATGTTAGCTAAAATGATAATGATAATTCCTTCTGTGTGTTCCATGAGGCTCACCCCTTTCTGTTCACACATTCTTCCCACGGGGACCATGAGATGGGCTGTGGTTCAGCCTTCCAGTGTTGTGGTGCTTTTGGATATAACGACAACGGGCTTTATCACTGTACAGTGAATGGGGTTCCCTGTGTATGTGATGGCTTAGTAGGTATCATCAGATTCTTTATTAATATTTATTGAGTACTCTTGGTGAAATAGAATGAAGTTATGATAACAGAAGTTGACAGCCTCCACTCTTTGGTCTTTCCATTCTGGTCTGATTACCATATTGAGTAGCCTGACCTAGCATCTCACTGTGGAGGCATATTCACCGTAGGCGGTATGGTACTTAGAGCATCCTGGCACCTCTGGGCACCTGCTGTCCTCTAATGTAGCCTTTACGTGAGATGAGTCAGTTTAGCCTAGATTAATCTCGGAGCTACTTACGGGGTTTTGTCATGCATCATGGGCCGCCTTTGTATTTGTCCTGTTGTCTGGAGGGAGGGCCAACATAAATTAGATTCAGTTTCAAAACAAAGAAATATTTTAACCTTGGTGTTGTCCTTAAAAACATGATTGGCATAGTGTGAAAAGAATGTCTGATTGGATTAGGCAGTACAGTATTAGCATCTCTGAACCGTGTCTAGTTGCGTCTTACTAATGTTGGCCTCAACTACATTACTAATTAGTAGTGTTCTAGAATGAAAACGTTAAAGAATCACTAATTTTAACCATTTATCTCTCCTAAGTACGTTATTTTTTAATTTTTGTTTTGCTTTTGGAATCTTAGGATTCTAATGATGGAAGGGTACTGCCACATCACCTTGTTACTGGCATCCCGTGGACAGCTGCTCTGCATCTAGCTCCCTGGTTTTCAACCTTGCTGGCACACTTAGGGAACTTTGGAAAAAATAGTGTTTGGGCCTCTTCTAGATCAACTATACCAGAATCTCAGGCAGTGGGACCTGGTTATTGATAACCTTTAAAATGTCCACAGGTGATTCTAATATGCAGCCGTAATTGCAAACCATGGAGCTGGCGTCTGGATTTTAGGCTAGTGTTTCTCAAACTTTTGAATGCAACACAACCATTTCGAGGAGCTAGGTTCTTGGGTTTAAACCCAGAATGTTTGAGTCAGTAGGCCTGGGGTGAAGCCTGAGAATTTTCATTTCAAATAAGTTTTCAAGTAGTTAGGGATCATACTTGGAGAATCAGTGATCTAGACCAGTGCTGGTCCAATAGAAATAAAATAGGAGCCAATATGTAATCTAAAATTTTTCCATTAGCTACATTAAAAAAATAAAAAGAAACAGGTGAAACTAATTTTAATATATGTCACTGTATGTCATAATATTGGTATGTTAAAATATTATTGTTTTGACAGAGTCAATATAAAGATTTTTAATGAGATATTTTATGTCTTAAAATACTATTCAAAATCCAGTATCTTATCCTTACAACACGCCTTAGTTTCGATTAACTACGTTTCACGTGCTCAGTAGTCACACGTAGCTGTTGGCTGCCATTGTGTAGAGCACATATGTAGACACCGAGGATTGCCAGTAGACGGAAATTTACAAGATCCTTAGTTTATGACTTGTTTCCATAGAGTTAAAATTTCCTTTCATTTGCCTGAATCTGTGTCTCTGGAGCTCCCGTGTTTTAGTTTTAATGTACAAATAACAGCGTGCCTTTCACCATGACACATAGTTGGAAGTAGATCTTGTGTCCTGCCGAGCCCGCTTTAGGCTAAGCTGTAGTTCATGTTCTTCATCTCCTGTGGTTTAAAGCCACTTCCCATCGGAACATATCTCTCTGAAAATGTGGTAACTAGAATCGCATCTAGTACTCTAGCGGTGGTCTGAGCTCCAAGAGGACAAACCCTGTCCCTCCCCTGCCCCCACCCTGCCCTTCCTGCACATTTACTGCTATGGTGGCAGCCTTGAAGGCCATTAGTTCTTTCGGCGGCTGTTACAGTATTGTCTCCTGCTGAACTCTCACCGGGCACCCAGAACTCTTACACTCCACTTACGTAATTGCTTTTTTTTGTGAACTCAAGTGCAAGACCTTACATAGAACCTGATAGTGCAGTGGTTCTTACTGGGAGATGAGTCTGATGCTCCCCCAGGGAACGTTTGGTGATGTCTGGAGACAGTTTGGGTTGCCCCAGCTGACGGGGAGGCAGTGGAGGTGCCGCTGGCATCCAGGGGGTTGAGGCCCAGGGTGCTTGTCAACATCCTGAGGTGCAGTGCGCAGCCGCCACAACAGAGCTGTCCCCAGAGGGCCGTAGTGCAGTGCGCAGCCCCCACAACAGAGCTGTCCCCAGAGGGCCATAGTGTGGAGAAGCCCTGCCCTAGTGTATGGGGCTCAGGTGTGGGCTCAGCAAACGGGATGATCTAGGGGGCCTTTGGGCACTGGTCGCATTGTGCTCTTGCTGGACTCCCCGAGGCTGCCCACTATGCTAAGCGTGTGGTGTTTGTTCAGTTTTCCTGTATCACTCTCTTGTAACGCTGTCAGAAAAGAAAGTGATTTGTCGATCTTAATTTTTCATTTTCATTACTTATTTTAGTAAGCTCAAGGAGAGTTTGGTAAATAGAGACACATATCTTAAAATACTTTTAGCAGTTACTTCTAATTCCACTGTGTAGGGATAACTACAGGTAACCTTTTGGTGCCTGGGTTTGAATCCTGGGGCCACCATCTACTGGTTGTGTGACCGTGGCTAAGTTACCCGGGGGAGATAGTAATAGTACCTGTCCCAGAGGGTTGTGAGGACTAAACACATCTAGTACACATTAAGTGTTCAGAACAGTCTGTGGCAAATCGTAAGAGCTACGTAAGCGATGGTTTCAGCGTTTGCATACATTTGTGTGTGTTTTCTGTGTGTGTATATAGTGTGTGGATGGACATGGTCAAGCTCACGCAGCGTACGTAGTTTTATCCCTGTTTTTTGGCTTGTATGGAGAACATTTGCCCTTGTTACTGAAAGTTCTTAGAAAGCATGTTACTTTCTGCTGAATACCATGAATTTAATGTAAAATAACTAAATACATAATTTTGTGCTAAATCACACCTCTTTTTTTTTTTTAAGATTTTATTTATTTATTAGGGTGCCTGGGTGGCTCAGTGGGTTAAGCCTCTGCCTTTGGCTTGGGTCATGATCTCAGGGTCCTGGGATCGAGCCCCACATCGGGCTCTGCTCAGCAGGGAGCCTGCTTCACCGCCCCCCACCACCCCTCACCTCTCTCTGCCTGCCTCTCTGCCTGCTTATGATCTCTGTCTGTCAAATAAATAAAATCTTTAAAAAAATTTATTCATTCATTCATTTATTTATTTAATTTAGAGGGAGAGTGAGAGAGCACATGTGCCGACAAGCAGACTCTGTGCTGAGCACAGAGCCCAACGCGGGGCTTGATCCTATGACCCCGAGATCATGACCTCAGCCAACATCAAGAGTATGAGCCATCCAGGCACCCCCCAAAAGTAGACTGACTAGTGGTGGCAGGTACTAAGGGTTTAAAGAAGTTTGAGAGAAAAGCTTAAAGTTGAGAACATCTTATCCATTAGGTTACTTTTTTTTCCCGTGGGTGAAAAAAGATGGCTGTTGTATTTTAGTAAAAGACACCTCCGTGTAGTATACACAAATGCTATATTCCAGTTGGTCCTAGAATCTTATCCCAAATTGATGCATAATTTTTTGGTTTCTAGTTTATAGTTTATAGAACCTGCATTCTTTAAATTTTCTCCTCTGCCTTCACAAATAAATAAATAAAGTATATGTCTTTATATGCTTGAAGAGATTCCTGCCTTCTCCATAACTTTCTGTTGAAAACTCACTTTTCTGAGTTAGAAACAAAAAACCTCTTTCTCTTGCACATTTAGGTCTGAAGTTATGGAAGTAATGATTTATATTTTGCGATGAGTTTACTCTTCACTTGGAAGAGCGGACAGTTTGGTGTGAAACTAGGCAACTGTTGGGCTTCCCAATGGCTTATTGCCTTAGTTTTAAGGATACTAGTTGGTGTTTGTCTTGTTTTGGTTTCCGTGTGTTTGGGCTCTGTATTTGTGAAACAATTTGAAATTTTAGAAGCCTTTGAGGAGTTTCCAAGTAAAGATAGCTCTTAAAGTTTATTATCAGCATTTTAATTTGAGAAACAAAAAATGGCGTTTAAAGTTTCCATCTGGCAGGAGTAATAGTGGCTTTGTGGCTCCCTAGGTGGGAGGAGAGGAGCCAAGGAGGGAGAGTGTCATTGCATAGTACAGCTTTGTGTTGTCCACAGGCTTTCCTTCTCCTGGTCTTCTCCACTATGTTTATAGGACCCAACAGAATGTAGAGTTCAATTGCTTGTATTAAGAGCTTGACAAATTGCTGTCTTTTGGGTACTCTTTGTTAGATGAATGATGGTAGCTGGGCAGCTGTAGCGGAGCTCGTTTCAGAAAAGAGGCGGTAGATGGGATTTATTACTTGGGAAGGGCCTCTGGGAATCATAGTCCTTAGGTGTGAAATGGCCTGTAATGTCTGGACCCTGTCTTCAGGCGGTTACTGTATCACCACCTGCATGTATTGAAGCAGCTGAGACTGGGGAAGTTCATCATCTTTGTGAGTCAGCTAGCTGCTAAGTGGGGAATGAGGTCCAGTTTGTAGCCTCTCAAGAAGGTATGTGGTTGAATGCCTGCCCTAGTGCTCTCCCCACAGTATTTGGGAAGAATCCTGGACTGTCAGAATTGAGGCTTTATCTCTAGGGGAATGATTCCCATCAGTGGCCTAGTGCAAAGCGTCGTCGTTTCAGATGAATTAAGTTCATTTTTAAAAGGTCTTGACCAACATTTTTGTTTTGATAGCAATTGCCTGTTCAGAGCACTTGGTGATCAGTTGGAGGGACACTCACGAAATCATCTCAAGCACCGACAAGAGACAGTGGATTACATGATAAAGCAGCGGGAAGATTTTGAACCCTTTGTAGAAGATGACATTCCTTTTGAGAAACATGGTAGGTTCACCGTGCGACACTGGATCCTCCAGGAGTAATGCATTGGGTAATTAAATCCATCAGCATTCCCCACCCTCTCAGTCAGGGGTTTCAGTTCATAAATGATGGCATTCATTTATTCAACAAATATTTGTCTGCTCTGTAATAGGCAGCATGCTGGGCAGTTGGGAATCAATAGGTTAAGGTATCTGTACCCTTAATAAAAGTGATGCTGTTAATTAACCTGAAAAGCTATTTAGAACTTCTTATTCAGTGGGAGGGGGGGGTGTCAAAGAAGCCTATAAAATGTATACAGACTGATCTTCATTTTGAAAGGTACATAAACACACACACACACACACACACGCCAGGAAAAGTGGCTAAGTCCTAACATTCTATGGTTGGTAATTCTTGGCTCTGCTTATTTTTCAGAAACCACTTACTTTCAACAACTTCGAGATATAATAACACCAATTTATAGGGTTTCTGATAAGGATTAAATTAGATAATATAATTAAAATAAGTTCTTAATAAATGCCAGCTGTCTAGGGGTGGCGGGACTATGACAACTTTAAATGTTCTTCTGCATATTTTTCTGATTTTCAAAATGACCATGTATTGCTTTTTTTTTTTAAGATTTTATTTATTTATTTAACAGAGAGATCACAAGTAGGCAGAGAGGCAGGCAGAGAGAGAGAGAGAGAGGAAAGCAGGCTCCCTGCTGAGCAGAGAGCTGGATGTGGGGCTTGATCCCAGGACCGTGGGATCATGACCCGAGCTGAAGGCAGTGGCTCAACCCACTGAGCCACCCAGGCGCCTACGTATTGCTTTTGTAATCAGAAAAAGCAGTAGTCATTTTAATTTCTCACCAGAAACCCAAACACAACCACTTTTCTTTGAGGCAAGTCAATGATTTAAATTAGCTCAGATCTAGTAAGAAAGTACATATGAGCTTCCCCCGCCTTTTATTTAAAAGATTTTTACTTATTTATTTTAGGGAGAGAGAGAGGAGGAAAAAAAAAAAAAAAAGTGTGCACAGGGAAGGAGCAGAGGGAGAGGGAGAAGCAGAGTCCCTGGGGAGCGCAGAACCTGACACGGGGCTTGATCCCAGGACCCCAAGATCATGACCTGAGCTGAAATCAGGAGTCTGATGCTTACCTGACTGAGCCACCCAGGAGCCCTAGTACATTTGAGCTTTTAAACTTTAAGGTTCGGGGTACCTGGATGGCTCTGTCGGTTAAGCATCTTCCTTCAGCTCAGGTTATGGTCTCAGGGTCATGAGGTAGTGCCCTGCCCCGCATTAGGCTCCCCACTCAGTGGGGTGTCTGCTTCTCCCTCTGCCTCTCCCCCATTTGTGCTCGCTCTCTCCCTCTCAAATAAATAAATAAAATCTTAAAAAAAAAACCAACTTTAAGGATCTACTAAACAAGGTGTTGATATATTTGTATTTTACAACTAACATTATCATCACAGGGCGCACATAGTACCCTTACTAAGAAAGAGACAGGATCGTTCTGTGTTTTAGAGAACTAATTGTGGATGCCGTGTCAGGAATGGATGGAGAAAGACTGAGAAGGAGGATGAGTTAGAAGCCTGTCCACATTGGCCAGATGAAACGCTAAGAGAGTCTCCACCAGCCACGTGGGGTAATCAGTAGAGCTCGAGCTAGGACACAGCTTGGTATCGTAATTGACAGGCCTCATTGGAGGTGGGGAGGAGGGGAGGAGGAGGAGACAAAGGTGATTTGGAACGTTCTGGAGAATGGCTGGGTAGTTGTATCCTTATATCCTCCATCGAGAGAGAGGGCAGCAGGAGGAAGACCTTTGGCAGGGAAACTATCCATGACCCCAAAGCCTTTTTCATTCCTCCCTAGGAAAGGACTCATTCATTAGGCACCAGCAGCAAAGGGGCCCAGCAGCAAACCACCCCTCTCCATGAGTAGTTTCTGTCAGTCACTGAGTTCTGATGGTTCCTCTCTCTGGCTCAATTTCTGTCTGGCAGATGCCAGGTTACCAGATGGTCAGCTGTGGACAAGTGTGGGTCTATAGGGCAAGTTTTGCAGTTTAGTGCTATATAAAATGAATGGTGTCATTCGTCCAAGTAAAATACCATTTTGGATGGAGAGAGTTTTCACTTTGACTGGAGAATCCCCTGTGGATATCTGCAGTGGAGTCACGTGGTAGATTTGGGGTGCGGCAGGACAGGGGACTCCAGCCTGCAGCCACCAGCATGATGTGATGGTCCCTGTCAATGTGCAATGGGAGGCTGTGTTGTTGAAATGTCACTGGGTTTGCCTGATGGCTGGTTGGTGCTCTGTAAGAATTTGAGCATCAGAGGTGTGAGAGGTGGCTCTGGCTGCCATAGCGGAATGAAAGGACCCTGAGAAGTCTACACATTCCATTCGCGGGTCACCAGAAGCCTGGACTTACTCCGTGTATCACTCTTCTGGTTAATGTGGTTTTAACGCCTGCCTGCCTTTTTACACCGTGAGATTCTTGGGACAAGGACTGTGGTTGTTCTGCAAAGTGGCACTGCCTGGCACGTAGTAGGCACTCGGAAGACGTTTGTTAAGTGAATAAATAAACGGCTCACTTAACTCTTTAGGGCCTGGTTACCCTGGTGGATGGCTGTGTTGTTTAGGATTGTTCTTTCCTTTAGACTCTGGCTCTCCAACTGTACAGAGACCTGAGTATGCTCAGTGCCTTCTCCCCCTCTCTTATGCCCAGTCGTTTATGAAGGCTTGTCACTTCTACCTCCACGTCTTTTTCTTTCACCGCTTCTCCCTCATAAAATCAAGTCTCGGGGGACATTTGCTTAGACTTCTTCAGTACTTTTTGGACTGATTCCATTGCCTCTTGACCCCTTGAGTTTGTCTTCCACATTGCGGCCAGAGTAGTGAGCTAAATGCACATATATCTAAGACCTCTTTTCCCATCAAAAACCTGTTGGCCACTCCCCACGGACCTGAGGATAAAGTCTGAACTCTTCAGCTCTTGTTAGTTCTCTATCCTCGTCTCTTGCTGTTTCCCACTCTGTCTTCTGCTCCCCGACCCCTGGCTCTCGGCAGTCCCAAGTTCGCGCCATACTGTATAGTGCACAAGCTCATCCCCTCTCTCTCACCTCTGCTTGGGACATCATCCATTCCTCTTCTGTCTCCTGCTCGCCCTTTAGGAGTCAGTGCAGTTGTCTGCTGAGAAGCTTGTCTGATACGCCTTACCTCCCCCTCCCACTACCAGACTGGGTTGTGGTCGTGACCCGTCAGCCAGACGGCAGGGTTTGGGGGCACAGTCTCTCATAAGACTTTGCTCTCTTCTTTCTTTCTTTTTTTTTTTTTTTTTTTTTTTTTTTTTTTTT